CGCGTCGGGCTCTGTGCTGACAGCTCAGAGCCTGGAGCCTGCTTTGGATTCTGTGTCTCCCCCCTCTCTCTGCCCCCTGCCCCCCGCTCATGCTCTGTCTCTCTCTGTCTCTCAATAATAAATAAATGTTAAAAAAAAAATTTAAACCCACCGTCAAATAATACCAAACTGCTTCATGTGCACTGCAGGTACTTTATAACACATTATTCCTAATTTTGCTCTCCCGTCTCTTGGGAAAGTGCTGTTATTCATTTCAGTATCCACGTTATAAATACATGATTACATTACCGCTTTAAACAAATAGTTACCTTTTAGAATAATTCAAAGTGAAATATTCTTTTCATTTATTTACTTTGAGAGAGAGAGAGAGAGAGAGAGAGAGAGAGGCAGAGGGAGAGAGAGAGAATTCTAAGCAGGCTCCACACTCAGCACAGAGCCCGATGCGGGGCGGGACTCAATCCCACAACCCTGGGATCATGACCTGAGCCAAAATGAGGAGTCGGGACCCTCAACTGACTGAGCCACGCAGGCACCTCCAAAATAAAACATTTTATCCCTTCATTTATTCTTTTCTGATGCACTTCCTTTTTTAATACAGATGCATGTTCCTGAGCGATTTCATTTCCTTCTGCAGAAAGAACTTCTATTAAAATTTCTTTTGGGGGTAATGCTTTTGTTTTTATACCTAAGAAATCTTTGCATAGCCCGAGGCAAAAAAACACTCTTCTTGCTATGTTTTCTTCTAGAAGTTGTATAATTGCAGGCTTTACATTTAAACATATGATTCATTTAGACTTAATTTTTATGTATGTTGGGTTGAAGATTCTTTTTTTACATACAGATATACAATTGTTCTACCACATTCGTGAATTGTCTTTGGATGTTTGTTGAAAAGTCAGTATTTGTAGGGCTAATACCACTTACTTGGTTTTAAGACTTGTCATAAAGTTATACTAATCAAAACAGTGTGGTATAGCTCACAAAAAAGAGTCAATGAAATAAAATAGAGAGTTCAGAAACCGACTCACACAGATATAAACTCCCGATTTTTTTCCTGATCCACAAAAGAAAATACATAAAATTGGACTCCATTCTATTCCATTCCATTCCAAAGAACTGTTGAGAGAATAAAGAGACCTGAGACAGGGATAAATGTTTGCAAATCCTGTCTAATAAAGGAATTCTATCAAAACTCGATAAAAATGAAACAAAAGCCCAATAAGAAAATGGGAAAAATGTGAACGGTCTTTTCGCCAAGGAAGATACAGGGAAGGATGGCAAATACTCACAAAAAGATGTCCCACATCATCAGTCATTAGGGACAAGCAAATTAAATCCATAAAGGTTTACGACTACACACCGAAGCTTCTAACATCGCTGGGGAGGATGTAAAATGGTACAATCACTTCAGTGACCTACCGTATGATCCCCCCGTTCCATGCCAGGTATTTACTGAAGAGAAATGAAC